GTTTTTTGAGACAGGGTCTCACTATGTAGTTGAGACTGACCTGGAACTCACTATGTAGCCCAGGCTGGTCTCGAACTCACTGCAATCCTCCTGCCTCAGCCTCCTGAGAGCTGGGATTACAGGTATGCGCCACCACGCCCGGCTCCCCCTCTTTTATTCTTAATTAGGGGGCTAACATCTCACCGTACCTAACTTCTACCTACTGCAGGTACCTACGAGGGTGGCCAGAGTGCACTACAATCAGAGCCCCGCCGCCCAGAAGCCCCTCAGGAGCCTCCCCAGTGCGAGCTCCTCCCTCCTCCTCCCCAGCAGCTCTGGGGTCCTCTTTCCCGGGTCTGTACACCGCCTGACCCTAAACAGCGCCGCCTCGTTCTCTGGATCTGGCGCCAGGCGGTTCTCGCTCTTCCCCAGAGTCATGATGATGGGAATGAGCCAACCTGGACCGATTCGGGGATTTGGGGCACAGAGGCCGCGGGGACGGCACAAAGACCCTCAGGAGAGGGCCCTGCAGAGCCACTGCGGGAGTGGCTGGGACGATGGGATGAGCATGTCCCAAGTGTGCAGTTTACTACAGTAAGTTTTAAAGTAATAAAACTGAGCATGCACTGTATTTTTTATCTCCGTGCTCACCCACGGGGAGAAGCACTGTCTGCACAGGGTTTGTTCCCACAGTGGCTCCGCACACCTGCTGGGGTCCCGACTGAGCCCCAGGGCGAGGGCCCCCAAAACCCAGTCTGGACCCCAGCTCCAGGCCCTCACCGCTGGGCAGCACTCACCTCGCTGAGGCTGTATGGCAGGATGAGCTTGTCGTTGGCTGTCACCGTTTTTCTTTTGGTCAGGACCTCCACCAGGATCTCTCGCTTCACCTGTGGCAAAGTTGACGTCAAGGAGACAGGAGGCGCAGCCCGGCCCCGCACAGAGTCCGCCGAGCACAAGTGCAGTGGGGTTTCCCAGTGGGGTTCCCCAATTCCCCCTGGTACCCACACATGCCAGGGACTCAACAGAGGCCGTGGACCAAGCACACCTTTAAACAAAGCTTCAAGTCAGGCACGGTGGCACACGCCTATAATCCCAGCTACTGGGGAGGCTGAGGCAGGAGGATCCCAAGTGCAAACCCAGCTTTGGAAACTTAGGGAGAGGCAGTCTCAAAATGAAAAGGGCTGGAGATCCAGCTCAGGGCTGGGCCTGAGTCCAATCCCCAGTAAGCAAAAGACAAAACAGCAGAAACAAGAACAGTGCAGGCAGTTTCTCAGCCCAGGCGAATTGGCCCTGGGGCTGCACGGCTATGCCACGGGGAACCCCCCTGGGCAACACAGAGCGCTGATCAGTGCTCGCAACCTCCAGCCATCGGTACCAGCTGCGGCCCGCCGGGTGACACGCTGGGCTCAGACACTGCCCGCGTCCCAAGCACAGAGTGGCTGCAGGTGGAGCGCAGCGAGGACGATGCAAAGTGCCCCAGAGAGGCGATCTGGCCGATCACACTCTGCTGCCACACTGTTTTTGTTCTCCGAGGCACAGTCTCACTGTGCTGCCCAGGCTGGCCCCTAAGTCCTGCCCCACAGGTCCTCCTGCCTCAGCCTCCTGAGCAATTGGGCCTGTGGATGCCTGGCCAAGCTGTGCTGTGCAGCTCAGGCTGGCCTCGAACTTGCGGTGATCCCCAGCCTCAGCCTCCCAAGCGCTGGGATGACAGGCGTGACCGCCACAGCCTGCTTCGCGAGTACTTTGCATGGAGGGCGCAGTGGGAGGTGGCGCTGGCCAGGGAGGCCATCAGAAGTGTGGAAGGGACACTGAGGCAGTGACGGGAGGGAGTGGCGAGCCTGCAGCAGTGGAGGAAGTGCCGGTGTCTGTCCCGGCCACGGCACAGGGCGGCAGGAAGTGGTACCTTCAGGAGCTGCGACAGCGTGTCCAGAACCTCGGTGGGCCCGACCTCCAGGCCCTCGTCACGGCCTGTGGCCCTCTTCTTATAGGTGACGTTGCCCAGGTACAGGATGGCAGAGAGCATGGAGAAGATCCTGCCAGCACAGAGGTGTGGGTGGTGGGCACAGGGCTTCACCTTTGCTCTCAGGTGGGCATAGAGGCCAGGGCACTGGCGCTGAGCACCAGCTCCACTGCCTGCCACACCACAGCCCAGCCAGATGTGGGGATGGAGCTGAGGGCCTTGCACACTCGAGGCAGGGCAGTAGCACAGGGACGCGCTGCTACCCTAAAATTATTATCTTTTGGTGTCTTTCAGACAGGGCCTCCCTACGTAACACAGGCTGGCCTCGAACTCACAGCCATCCTCCTGCCTCAGCCTCCCCAGTGCTGGGATCACAGGCGTGCGCCACCACTGCACCCAGTTTAAAATCGATCTTTTAAGGGAAGAACAACACGTAAGTATGCTGTATCCACACATCAGAACATCACACTGTACCCCATGATACGTGCAATGGCGACGTGTCAGAAAACTCAGAGCCTGGCCAGGTGGCACAGGCCTGTCAGCTCGGTCCTCTCGGAGGCTGAGGCAGAAGGATTGAAAGTTCAACCTAGGAAACTTAGTAAGAGTCTGTGTCAAAATAAAAATAAAAAGGGCTAGCCAGGCGTGGTGGCACACGCCTGTAATCCCAGTACTTGGGAGGCTAAGGCAGGAGGATCGCTGTGAGTTCGAGACCAGCCTGGGCTACACAATGAGTTCCAGGTCAGTCTCAACTACATATTGAGACCCTGTCGCAAAAAACCGAAAACATGGGCCGGGGATTTAGCTCAGTAGTTGGGTGGCCTGCCTTGCAAGCGCAAGGACCCGGTTCAATCCCTGGTACCAAAACAAAACAAACAAACAAACCCAAAAACCAACAAAAAATAAAAAGGGCTGATGATGCAGCTCAGTGCCAAGGCAACGGGTTTTATCACCTGCATCACAAGCACACACAATTCCCGAGCAGAGCTCAGGGGGCTGTCATAGGCGAGCAGGGCTGTGCGTGGAACCACACCCGTGAGCCGCTGTCCCCAGGCTGACACCCCGGTCCCTGAGGCTTCGAGCGTGGCCACCACGCAGGGGTCTGTCTGTCTGTGCGCTCCGGGCTTCCAGGGCTGCCGGGAGGCGAAGTGAACACAGCCTAGACGTGGGACTGAGTGGGGCCGCCCTACCCGCCGTGCTGCAGGCTCATCGGCTCCATGTGGACTTATAGTCATCTCTGGTTTTTTCTTTGCAGCCCTAGGGTTGAACCCAGCCCCTTTTTACTTCCAGACAGGTGTCACTAAGTTGCCCTCAGGGACCTGAACTCGCGAGCCTCCGGCCTCAGCCTCCCGCGCAGCTGGGCTCACAGATGTGTCCCTGTGCTCAGTTCTGCACACCCGTTCCTCTCCTACGCGGGCCTGGACCACTTACTGCTTCTTGGTGGCCGGGAGGAAGCCCACCATCTCCATGGCCTGCTTGAGCCGCTTGAAGTCGTGCCTCAGGTCCTCCCCATCCTCGATCTTCAAGTTGTGCTGGAAACACTCTGGGTCAGGCTGGAGGCCTGCGGGCGGGCCGGTGAATGGGCTCCTTCAGCCCTCCCGGGCCTCCGCCCACAGCCGGGGACAGAGGCGGCCTTGTGGCAGGCCGGCCTGTTTACCTGGTTGAGGTAGAAATAATCTCCCGGCTGCTTGAGCTGAAACTCTTGGCGTTCTTCCTCACTGACCCCGAGGAGCAAATAATAAAACACGTGGTAGTTCCTGTGGGGCAGGCGCAGGAGAGCGTCAGGCGGCGGGGGAAGCAAGCCACTGCTCGTGCTTGTGCAGAGACCCTCAGGGAGGGACAAGCACTGGAAATGCGATGCACAAGCTGATTCTTGCATCTACCAGGCCTTGATTTCACTGAGACAGGGTCTTGCTCAGTGACCCAGGCTGACTTCAAGTTTGCCTCCTCCTGCCTCAACCTCCCAAGTAGCTGGGATGACAGGCACTCGCCACTGTGCTCAGCTAATCAGACAGGTTTCCAAGTGAAACCTTGGGCAGACACCTGAACGGCGATGGTGGGTGAGCCCTCGGGACACCCAGGATCGGCCACAGGGCGGGCTGGGCACAAGGGGCCGGGGTGGTGCCTGCCCCAGAAGCTTCGAGCAAGCGTACCGCTCATCCTTCTCTTGGGACACCAGGCGGGACTTCTCAAGCAGGTATTTTTCCACGACAGCCCTGTCATTAAAACAAACGGAGAAATGAGACGTTACTCTTTGCGCTGTTGTTGAAATGTTACACATTGAACTGTTGTTTCATCTGCTTTTTTCCTCTGGTCTCTGCTAAGGATGGAAGCTACACGCCTGGCTCTGCCATTCTTCTCCGAACAACTAGTTTTGTTCTTGCCACAGAACCTCACTCTGCAATCCAGGCTGGTCTCAAATTCATGATCCTCCCGCCTCAGCCTCCCAGGCACTAGGCTTCTGGTGGCTCAGCCACGCCTGGGCTGCCTGCGGAGCACCAGGGACCACAGCCAGCTACAAACGAACCTGTGATCTCGCCTGGCGCGTGACCGAGCTCCCACACATCCCACAGGGGTCCCGGCCCCACTATCTCCCCGGAAGAGCTCTCAGCTGCCAAAAAACGACTGCACGTGTGAAGTGCATGATTTTCTGCTACCACCTTCGTGGTGCTGGGCCTGGGAGCCAGGCAAGCGCTCCCTGGCCGCTGTGGCGGGGGGGCACTGAGCAAGAGCTCCAGTAGCCCTGCACCGGGATCAAGATAGCAACACACCGTCACCCCAGAAAGCCACCCTTGCCCTAAATCCCTCTCTGCTCCCCCAGGTGGCTGTGCATCAGATTCCTGCTGCTATAGATCAATCAGCTGTTTCCACAGCAGCAAGAAGACAAAGCGCAGTCTCCACAGTGACCCCCTAGATGCAGCCGTGCTGCACCATGCACCAGGGTCCCTTCTTTTTTGTGGCTGAGTAATATTCCATGATGGAGCTGGACGTATCGTGTTCATCTGCCCGCCTGCTGATGGACATTTGTGCCATTTCCAGTTTTTAGCTATTCTCAAGGTTTCTGCCTAGGGCCAGGGACTTAGCTCAGTGGTGCCACGCGTGCCTGGCAAGCGCAAGGTCCTGAGTTTGATCCCTGGTACTGGGTTAAAAAAAAGGGCTGGGGTGCAGCTCAGTGTGAAAGCCCTGGGTTCCACTCCCAGCGCCATGGAAAAACAGTGGGGACTTGCAGGGTCCCCGGAGGTCCCTGTGTAAATGCACAGGAAGCTGAGGGCTTACAAATCAGGGAAGCAGAGGCACGCTTGGACGGGCCCTGACCCTTGGCCCCGGTGGGGAACAGTAAGAGAAATGCTACCTGCCCACAGCAGACCAGAGCAGAACTGGCCAGAGCCCCTTCTCCAGACAGAGGTGGCCTCAGGGGACAGGAAGTGCTGCTTCCCAGGTGAGCCAGGCTGCAGACGGCACAGGAGGGCAGCATGGGACGCAGCCCAGTGCTGGTCCCCAGGTGTCAGTGGGGCCCTGCTGGGGGACCTTAGTTACCCGCAGGCAAAAGTGGGAAGACGGTGAACAGACCAGTCTGGAAGGGCCTGGGCCGTCGCTGGGAGTGTTCTGGCACCAGGCAGTGGGGTGGAGGGTGGGGGAGAAGAACAGGAAGAGCAAGGAGAAGGAGGAGAAGAGGAAGGCAGCGGCCGGGGAAAATGAAGAGGAGGAACTGAGGAGGAGGAGGAGGAGACTCCCGCACACGTACTACAGTCTGGATGTTTCCTATTTGCAGTACTTCGGACTGAACCCAGGGCCTCACACGTGCTGGGCACGCACCAGCCACTGAGCAACACTCCAGCCCTTCTATACTTTTTCGTTTTGAGACAGGGTCTCGCTAAGCTGCCAGGCTGGCCTTAACCCTGGGATCCTCCTGCCTCAGCCTCCTGAATGTAGTTTGGATTGTGAATATCCTCAAAAGGCCGTCACTAAAGGCTTATCCTGGACTCCTGGCAGCTTTGAGAGGTGGTAGTCCTTTAGAAGGTGGGGCTGAGTGAAAGGTCCTTAGGTGCTTTAGGGGTGCCCTTGAAGGGGTCTGTGGCACCTCAGCTCCCTGCAGCATGTCCCTGTGCTGCCCTGGGCAGCTTGGTCACGAACTGGACCTCCACGACAGGAGCACTTGGGAGGCTCAGGAAGGAGGACTGCCACGAGTTCCTTCAGCCTGGACTACGGAGTGAGTGTTCAAGGCCAGGCTGACCTACACAGCGAGATCCTGTCTCAAAACACAAAACAAAACAAAACAAAAAAATGCTGGGCGTCGTGGTACACGCCTGTCATCCCAGCACTCAGGAGGCTGAGGCAGGGGTCTCTGTGTGAGTTCGAGACCTACAAAAAAAAAAAAAAAAAAAAAAAAAAAAAAAAAAAATCAAAAAACAAAAAGTCTTCCAGGCTCACCCATGTTGCCAAGTTTTGTCTTGTTTTATTTTTTGGTGCCAGGGATGGAACAGAGGACTCTGTGCAAGCCTGGCCAGCACTTGCCACTGGGCCCCTGATGTGTGCCCTAGCACCAAACACTTGGGGGCAAGATGCTGAGGACCCCGTGGAGGAGGGCTGAAGCCCAGAGGGTGGCTGGCAGCTCTGGTGCCTACTACCACGTGCCGTGGGCAGCCGGGGACAGGGAACCTCAAGGTCCCACAGTGCCTGAGGGCCCCTCACCTGTCACCTGTAACCTCTCCAGTCCTGGCAGAGCCTAGGGCAAAAGAGAGGCGCTGAAGCTGATGGTCCCCCACAGTGCACTCGCTTCTGTCCCAGGTATGAGACAGGTGTTGGTCGGGGTGGGGCCGAGGGGTTGCCCTGCGCCCACAGGCCACCTGCGGCACGACCGAGCACCTGCGGGCAGCTCGCACTGTGTGCCCACCACTGACCCGGCACGCCTGCCGGGGGGTTTCTGGGAGCCGCCATCACTCTCCCATCCATCCCCCGACCCACCTCTCCCTGAATCTACTCACCCATCAGTCAGCCGCTTACCCATTCATCCACTTAGCACCCCCCACCCATGAGTCTGCCCTTCTGTCCAGCTGCGCAACCGCGGATCCACCCATCCGCCCTCCATCCACATCCAACTGACCGAGAGGGCTCCCGACACCGCGGGCCCTCCCTCCTCCCACCCGCCCGCAGTCAGTAATTCCCGGCCAGCAGTGTCACTCTGGACCCTGCACTGGGTCTCTCTGGCTAACAAGGCACAGAGCCCAGGCCCCCACAAAGTCCCCAACTCAGACACGGGCAGCGCTGTCCTCGTCTGGGTGTGGAGCAGGGGGGCAGCGCCCTGGGACGGGCTGGCGGCGGAGCGCGTGCCGTGTGTGGACCCCTCACTCACCCCCTCACGATGCCGCTCTCCAGGTAGTTGACTTGGATGAACTTGCCGAAGCGGCTGGAGTTGTTGTTGTGGGCCGTCTTGGCATTCCCGAAGGCCTGCGGGGACAAAGGCAGGGTTCAGAGGAGCAGGCACTGTGGTGTCCCCACGGCCACCCGAGCCACAGCCTGTTTCCTGCGGCATCTGGGGTACGGACGACACTTGGGTCCAGAGCCAGGAGCTGGGACTGGGGAAGCTCGGGTCTAGGGTGGAGCCCAGTGCCCTGGGCACCAACCCAGCGCCCGGCACCTGCACACCAGGGGACACCAACACCTAGTTGTCACCGTTCTTCCTCAGGAGCATCCCTCCACAACAGCCATAAACCCGAGACACCAGAACCGCAGGAGGGAGGCTCAGACCAGCCCCACACTGTCCCACAGACCCCAGGTTGCTTCTGGGATTCGGCACCCACTGACGGGACCGCTGGGTGCACGGCCGCCGGCACGGTCGGGCGGGGGGCAGGACCAGAAGGAGCGCCGTGCGTGTCCCCGCAGGGGCGGCTAGTTCTGGAGAGCACTCTGGATTCCGGGCGACTTAAACCGCTGATTCGAAGGGACAAAGGAGTAACCAGTCACGTGAGGTGGCAAACTAGGGCCAAAGGCCCTCTGTCTGCAGTCTCTGTGCCCTTTGTGCTGCCTCCCACTGGGCTCACTGTGCCGGCCTCTCTTGTGCGGGATCCCTCGGCCTCAGCCGCCAAGTGCTGAGATCACAGGTGCGCTCCATGCTGGGCCGAAGCTCACCACTTTGAAGTACACAAGCCAGTCCCACCAGACACATTCCCAGGGCTGCACAACCGTCTTTGGTCTACATTTGCAGCCTCCAAAGGAGACCCCGTCCCCATGAGCCTGCCCCCTCCCAGCAGCCACTAGTACACCTCCTGTCTTCCCACGTCTGTGGCTCTGCCTGCCCTGGGCCTCTCCTATTAGTGAGCTCACACGACGTGGCCTTTAGTGCCTGGTGTCCACTGCTCAGCACCACGGTTTCCAGTTCGTCTGGGCGGTGGCGCGTGTTGGAGCCTTGTTCCTTCTCCTGGCTGAGTAATATTCCGTGCACAAAGGACAGTGTAACTGCGGGCGTCTGGGCTGTGTGAGCCTCTGGTCGCTGAGCACACTGCTGGTGTGGACGCTGCTGCACAGGTTTTGTGTGGACCAAGTTTCATCTCTCTGGAGTCGCCACCAGGACGTGACATGCAGGATCACTTGACAGCAGCTGGACATGCGTACTCGCCAGCACGGCCTCGGTTCCTGTTTCCCCAGACTCCGTGGTTCTTTCCTGCTCAGCTTTGCTTTCTGTGTTTTCTTTCTGAAATGCTGCCCAGGATGGCTCCGATTCCTGGGCCCAAGTCTTCCAAGCAGTGGGACTCAGGTGTCACCGACCAGACTCATGCACAGTCATTAAGAACACCGTGGGGGGCTGGGGATTTAGCTCAGTGGTTCCACCACCTGCCACACAAGCGCGAGGACCCAAGTTCGATCCCCGGTACCAAAAAAAAAGAACACCATGGGGACGTCTGTCGCCTGTCTCTCTGAGATGGGGAGGAAATGCCATGGGGTTCCCGACACCTCCCTCTGGACACGCAGACCACCCCAACACCTCCGAGACCTCCGCCCTGTCTCCTGGATAAGGGGTATGGGGCTTTCTGGAGGAGGTGATTACTCCTGAAGGGAGTGTTTGTAGTGGACCCCAGGGCCTTCACTCTGAGCTACAGCCTCAGCTGTTTCTAGGTTTTGATTTTGAGACAGAGCCTCACCAAGGCTAGGCTTGACCTAGATAGAGATCCTCCTGCCTCAGCCTCCGGAGCACTGGGATGACCTGTACCATGGAGCCTTTAAAGCAGCGGGGAGGTGTGGGAGCCTGTATGCGGGTCCTGTGCACGTGTCACACTGTTGAAGTCCGAGTCCAGCGTGGGCGCCCCAAGACTGTCTCACTGCATAAGGAGGACTGGGGCAAGGCTTGGCAGCGGGGCAGCACGCTCCAGGGCCTGGGGTCCATTCCAGCATAGTCAGGAAGGCAGGAATGTTCCCCTGGGGCTCGGGACCCAGCTGAGGTGAGGTCTGAGTTGGGGGAGCCCTGTCTAGGATGGAACCCGGGGAGGAGGCAAGCCTGCCCAACTCCCCCACAGACAGACGCTGTCCCGGGGCTCCTATCCCAGGCATCTGCAGCCTGCCAGGCCACGGATGCCAATGCTGGGTGCCTGGGCCTGGGTCTCAGGGATGAGCGGCGTTCCCTGTCGTCCCAGTCTTCCGGGGCCGGCCGCCAGCCCAGGCTCCTCGCCTCACAGCGGCCGGGCTGCTCGGTGATCTCATGCGTCTGGTATGCTCTCCACACACTGGGGCTCCAGAGCCGGCTAAAAATATCCAGCCCACACACCGGCGGGCGACAAGGTGCTGGGAAACCGGCTGCAAGGGGCCATCGTGCCCATGGCAGGACACACAGGGCCGGGTGGCCAGGAGGGAAGAAGGGGACCCGGGTGTCTAGCGCGAGGCCAGAGGGCTGTGTGCGGCCTGTCCCTGGCCAGGAGGCCCGGCCCTAGGAAGCTGTGAACCTTAGCTCTCAAGGGAGCTCTCCCTGCAGTCACAGTGGCAGGACTGGTGCTGAGACAGAATGTGCCCCTGGGGTATAAAACCTCAAGCCAGCTCAAGGGCATGCACCGGCCATTGTAGCTGCTCAGGAGGCTGAGGCAGGAGGATCTCAAATTAGAGGCCAACCTGGGCAACTTAGTGATACTCTGCCTCAAAATAAAATAAAATTAGGGCTGCTAGGCGGAGTGGTACATGCCTGTCATCCAGCACTCTGGGAGGCTGAGGCACAAGGATTACAAATTTGAGCCAAACCTGGACAACTCAGGGATTTAGCAAGAGCCTGGATCGAAATTTAAAAAGAGTCGGGGATACAGCTCAGTGTGAAGGTCCTGGCTTCCATCCCCAGAGCCACTAAACAGAGACCTGGCAGGGAGAAGAGTTCAGTGACACAGTTCTTGCCTAGAAAAAACTAGGTTCAACCCCTAGCTCCATAAAAAAAGAAAAAAAAAAAAAAACCCATCCTTCATCCCCCTCCTGGATCTACCCAAAGGCATGAGGCCCACAGGCCAGAGAGGCATCAATACTCCATGTCCACTGCACCCACTGGCAGCAGCAAAAGATGCAACAGTCCAGCCACAGACAGTGGAGAAAAACAGCAGCACACAGGTGGTGGAACACTACCCAGCCAGGAAAAGGACAGAGCCCACCACTCCTGCAGCACGCCGGAACTGGGGACACTGTGTTAAGTGCGGTAAACCAGAGTGACAGTCAAACACCATGTGATCTCACGGAGAAGAGGAAGCAAAAGCAATCAAACGCACATAAGCAATACTGGCACGGTGGTCACGGAAGCGGATGGCAGGGGCAGACTGCAGAGAGGCACGAGGGAGGAAGTCCGCTGGCCGCATATGCCACGTCCTGCAAGGCCCAGCATGGACTCGAAGTGGCCCCCAAGTGAGCGAGTGCACCCACTTCCACATCTGGACGGCACACAATTTTGGACTGTTCACAGACATCTTGGGGCGCTGGGACAGAAGCCAGGGCCCAGGCGGCGGGAAATGCTTACTTGCACTGGGCTGTGCCCCAGCTCAACCTGACAGCCCACGGTAGCCGATGGACAGGCACAGGAAGCGCGAGGCAGCTCAGCCTCGGGGGACCCAGGCACCCAGGGCTTCAAGGCTGCACAGCTGGAGGCTGGGAGGGCCCGATCAGACACTGGGGGAGCGGTGCTGAAATCTGTGTGTGCACGTGGGGGTCCTGCTACCGGACTTGGCAGGAATCTCTGCTAAAACTGGCAGAAGTTACAGACACGCTGGCTCAGCCATTCAAGTCAAAAGCACAATAAAGCACAAAATGCACACAATTCTGCTGGGTGTAGTGGTGCACACCTAGGATTCTAGCACAGGGAGGCTGAGGCAGGAAGATAGAAAGTTTGAAGCCAGCCGGACTACATGGTGACTCGGTGAGATGCCGCCTCAAAATAAAAAATAATAAAAGGGGCTGGGGAGGTAGCTCAGTGGGAAAGCCTTGGGTTCAATCCCCAGTACTACAAAAACACCAACCCCCCAAACTACACGAAACAGAACGAAAATGAAGAACCCAGCAAAACATGGGAGGTAGCTCAGTGGGAAAGCCTTGGGTTCAATCCCCAGTACTACAAAAACACCAACCCCCCCAAACTACACGAAACAGAACGAAAATGAGGAACCCAGCAAAACAAAACAAAAACTAAAAAACAAAAGTGCAAAACCCACTGCTTCCTCCTAGCACCACACAGAAAGAGGTGGCCAGGCATAATGTGCCGCGTGGCAGAGTCAGGGCCACCGCCTGGCCCAGCCGAGGCCCCACACAGCACCCTGACAGACGAGGCACGGGGTGGCCTCATGCAGCAGTCAGCAGGACCAAGACGGAGGCTCAGCGCCACTGCCCCATGGCATCCCTGCCCCTGGGGCCCAGTGCACAGGAGCACTGGGAAGGGTTCAGCGCAGAGGAGGGGAGCAGAGGACCATGCAGGTGGCAGCTGCAGGAGGCTGTGGGGGCAGGAAGTCCAGCCCCGGCTCCCGGGCTGGGGAGGGGAAAGTGGGGCTATGTGGAGCCTGACATCCCAGATGTACAGAGCACGAGGGGTGGCGGGGCCACCCTGCAGGTCCAGGGTCATAGCGCAGCCCTGAGTCTGAAGCAAGTCGCTGTGCCCAGCAGTCGACAAGACAAAGCGACCGGCCCGAGCATTCATGCGCGCTCACCCCAAAACCGCGCTCATCCGGGGAACCAGAGCTGCAGGAGGATCCCACCGGGGTCTCACCACAGCACGAAGTAGCTCATCAGCGTCCCCAGGGCTCCACACCATAGCCCCACGTCATTCTCAGCCCGCAGCTCTTCTCAGGAGGGGACCCCGCTGACTTCCTGTGATCACAAACTACAGGCTGCATGCCGTCCTGCCCTCTCTTTTCGAGGTACTGGGGGTCACTGGACTATACCCCAGCCCTCCTCACATGTGTAGATATGTCTTATTTTGAGACAGGGTGTCCTTAAGTTGC